CTATAATTTGTTGTAAATTTTATCTCTCTTGGATCATAATGTACATATAATCATATCTTTAACCTGATTAAAAAAGAAAATTTAATTTATATGCACAAGCTTATTTAATATATGTACCATCTCTTATTATTTCAATTTCGATTAAAATATAAAAATTTGGAAGAAGTTACTCTTTTACTGCTACACATTTTGAAATTAATATATCTCATGATTAAAAAATTTATAAAGAATTATTTTCTAACTTTTATAAAGAATTGAATTATAATAAATAAAATGGAGAATAAATTAAATCCTTCACCAATTGGACTATAACTCTTGTGGGTGGCAGCCCATTATTGAGGAAGCATATAAACATCTATAATCTAGAAATTGTATCATTAGTGATATTATTGTAGAATTCGGTATGCAATTTCCTTTTCATAATGTTTCGACATGCAAGCATGCCTGGCAGGAGAATGGGGTATGTAACAACGTACCAAGCCAGAATTTCACTACTTGCATATCCTCTGGGGCACAATATAATACACACTGAAATTATTGACTGGCAAAATATATGTAAGTGATGACGAGGTCCAAATGGCCATTGTTTCGCAGCAACCTTCGTTTTCCTTCTTATGTAAAACCAGCCACCTTTGTACGTTGTCTTCACAAAATGGCGACATTTGCATAATTGCATTCATTTCAGAGCTTATAATGAATTCCTTTCTCTCTTTTTTGCTTTCTTGCATGCAGTCCAAAAGATTAACTTCACATGGCCACAATGTATAATTAAAACTCATGTCTCAAAAATGTATTAATTTTGTTTCAAACATTATTTTATTATGGCAGAAGGTGCAATTCAATCTCTCTACTTTTACTTCTTATGGCATGTTATCCCTTCCATTTAAAAGCAGTATAAATTAACCTCTCTACTTAACAAAACCTGCTAAAGAATCCTTTTGTTAAAAATGACATGACACCATCCTTTCGACAAGCTTTGTATTGCTTCAGCAACATACATGAGCTAATTACCTAGCGCTGGTTGAACATGACATATAACCTAACACTAATTGGGAATGATTTGGCAATAAATTACACAATGTATAATTAATCTCATGTCTCAAAAATATATTTTATTTCAAACATTATTCATTATCCGCGGCGTTTTATGATTGAGGCATGGAGTACAAATTAAGGGAATGAATCATTTTTAAAATTTTTAATTATTCCGTTCTCTTTGCCTTTCACCATACTGCACATGGGCTCAAAAAGTTGCAAATTCCTTTTTCCTTCTTCTTTTTTGAACGGCGAAAAGTTGCAAAAAAAATTAAATTAAATATTGAATTGAAAGTGAGATTAAAGAACTAGATCTAGATTTTTTTTTAATTAAGGAATAAACCCGATAGTGTTCGTCTTTTTGCTTAAGCTAAATAATTAATCATAGCTTGTGGGATTATTCCTGTGCTAATCATAATTAAGCAGCAAAATTATTAGTATATGTTCATGGGATGAAGACAATAATGATGTGACATGGGGTATCTATTTCGAATCTGATGAAATTTCTCCGCCATTAAACACCAGTTCTGTACATTATGGTCCCTACACCATCATATCGAGCATCGAATCCCCAAAGAAGAACGTAAAACAGATGTGCTTGACCGTAAATCGATCCTATAATATGTATCAGTAGCAATTAATAATGGGTGCTTTTTTTTTTCCCCGGCCGTTTAGTAGTCGGGGTGTCTTTGGTGTATATTTTAAAATTAGTTTTTTTTTTATTAAAAATAAATTATATATGTTAATTGAGATTATGAAATTAATTAAAAATTATTTTTTTTATTGAGAGATCAATAAAATGAAAAACAAACTCATTTATTATCTAAATTACAACTCCTTAAATATATATAATTATTGTTTCTTAATTTATAAGCTTTTGGATTTTATTATTTTTTTTTCAAACCAAGGACTATTTGTTAAGAAAAATTTTTGAAAAGCATCTCATACAAAATAGTTTATTTGCTAAAATTTTGTGAGATTGGTGTTTCTTAATTGGCTATATCAAAAATTAAATAAAAAATACTTTAAAATTATATTATTTTAATAAAGTATCATGAAAAAAAATACCAAAACATTATGATCCATGCTTTAAAAATATGTTA